CACAGTAATGTCTTACTGGGGCGTTGGTAGTCCGGGAGGTGACACGTGACTAGTGGCGGGGTACGGCCGCAGCGAGAAGCGTGCTGGATTTGGTGTGCCGGGTGCGAACATATTTCCCAGAGCTCAGCCCTGGTCAGCTTCAGATACAATTGAAGCCCTTGGATGCTACCTCTGATGTGGGTTATAGCCAATTAGACATCCATGGACATGTAGAGCAAACTTAATTGTAATATTGACCAGGATAACACAAAATGCGAAGTTTAGGGGAGGTCATTTATTATTATTAAAATATTCTAAGTCAATTTAATTTAACAATTAATTAACGTGATGGCACATTGATAAAAAAAATTACATCATTATATTTTTGGTTTTGACCTACACCAGTCTGTATAATTTATATACCATTGCCTCAAGCAACACTTACCAATTCAATTGACCTCCTTGAACTCCAGAAGTGTGATAAGGAGCACTTTATCATATGTTCACCCAGCCTAAGCAATTTGAAATTAACTTTCAAATTGTAGTGTAGCAATACAGCTAATGAAATCCAACACTCTTACAATATATGCAAATAGTGTGTGTGTGAGGCCAAGCAAAGGGCTAAATGGATAATAATGTAACTAAGATGCAATTTCGCCTTTGCTGTATTGGTATCTTCATGTTAAGCTGTGGATTTTAATGCATTAAACGATTTAGTTTTTTTTTATAAGAACTAATAAGAGATAGTGTTACTTTAGGGGACGCCGCTGTGGTTTAACGGTGAGCGTACGCGACTCGCAGTCCAGAGGTTGCCAGTTCAATTCAATCGCCCGGCGCGGCAGTTTAATCAATTGTGAATTTTTCTTGAATCCCGCCACCACTGTCCACCCAGCAGTATGAACGGGCACGCAACGGTTTGTCGACTGAGCTGGTCACGTGATGGGGGGGGGGCATTCGGGTACTTCCAGCTCTTTCAACACATCTGGCCAGTGTAGAAAGATTAGGCATAGGCTGTTCAGTCTCTCTAGAGCTCTCTAGAGCTCTCTAGAGCTATCTCTCTCTCTCAGAATCATAAACCGTATTTAGGACTGGAGAAATCTGATGAGCCTTGAAGATCTCTCCCACAGTTGTCCAGTATGGGCGTGTCAGCAAGTTACAACAATAAACACTAAAAGCAACGCTAGGAGTGCAAAATAGAGAAACATGTAAGCAATTCGCGAAAGAAAAAGTAGTATTGTATAAGTCCTATTCATCAAGCTTGGGAAATGTAGTAAAAACAACAGCAAAACGTGTCCCAGACCACACCAAGATAACACACAGTAGGCCCTCAGTAAAATGGCACATTAACACATTCCTGCGGAGGGAGCTGGTAGGAACGTTAGGTTGCTCGATCAATGGCCAGGGTCAACGGCGGCGTGGTGTATTCCATAAATATGCCCGACTGTGAGAGCGGGCACAAGCCGGCGTGAGTAGGTTAAAAGTTGAGTTGTATAAGGGCACCACGGGGTGACCAGCCCCTCCCCACCCAGCCCCACCCCTCCTACCCCCCACCCAGCCCCACACTCCCCATCCAGCCCCTCCCCACCCAGCCCCTCCACACCCTCACCTCTCCACCCAGCCCCACTCCTCCCATTTTTGGATGCACGATGGACGGACGGACACAATAATCCCCAGTGGGCTGGTGTAACCAGGAGGTTCCTACCAGTAACATTGAACTATCGATACACAGGTACGGATCAAAGTTACAATTTACATTTTCAAATATGGCTGTAACCAGCACTAATCTTCTGCTTCACGATATTATTTGAAGGAGGATGTATAACAGTGCTGTGCCTTTACCCTAACTAGGAGAAGAGCCCTTTGAGTATGTGTCGCCTTTGCAGCCAAAACCTTTGGTTCAGCGTCTTTGTGGACTCCACATTGCACGCGGCACTGTCAGGATTTATACAACACAGGAGAGAGAACGCGTGCTAAGTTTGCTCATACATATAATCAGCACGTTTCTTTACGCGCTAATGAAGCTCATTTATTCGAATTAGTAGTTGTTTAATAATACAGTGCCTTTACATCAGGGTTTATGTCTCGAGAAAGATAATGGTAACCACGAGTCTGTGCGTATGCTTAGCCTCACCTCGTACTGCTTACGGTACTGAGATGGTTTAACCGTTCCTACGCCACTCTTGATTCTGGCTTTCTGAGATTTTGGTATTCACACAGAACCCTAGAAATTATGAAAGTGATTTAATCTGTATTCTTGGTTCTTTCGGTAAAGTCACGTAGAAGGGAAATAATAAAATAAAATATTAAACAAAATTCTCACGACGTTTCGACAGCAACACAAGCAATCATCCACAGCAAGAACATTTTCTTGCAAAAAAAAATTCTTGCTGTGGATTTCACACCTGATGATTGTGTTGCAGTCGAAACGTCGTGCGAATTTTTAAAAAAATAATTTTATTATTTTACTGTTTCCCTTCTATGTGACTTTACCGACAGAACCAAGCATATGAATCCCTGCAGTCACGAAAGCTTTAAATCAAATTTTTATTTAATCTGGTACCGTGAGCTCTGGCGGAATGCCATTGAATCACTAGAATCCTGAACATCTGGCACCACGAGCTTTGGACAGTAACATGTTACCGAAGTATCCTAAAGGTGCTTTAGTTTGGCTCGGTAAACCTTGGACAATCGCTGTTAATCTAAAGAATTTCAAGAAAGCTGGAAGTTGGCTCAGCAAGCCTCTGGATATGAAAATGAACCCTAGAAATCCTGAAGGTGGTCTTCTTTTTTTCTGGCTGTGGGTTATTGCATCTACATATACATCTGTATATCTTAATGATAACGAATACTGTTTAAATTATACATAACTAGCTGTACTACCCGGCTTCTCCCGGGACTTGGATCCACCACGCCCGGCCGCCTTTGTCTCCCCAGTGGCGATGTTCACACTCGTTTTGAGGCTGAGTCGACCTAGGGGAGGCCCAGGACCGGTTAAAATAATCATCACCGGTGGTGGCCGTGAGCGAGAATCGAACTCCGGGCTCGTACACAAAAAATATATGAATTATTGACCTCCCCCCCAAAAAAACTAAAACACAGAAGTGTATTTTTATAATTTGTGCATAGTGTACAGTCTGGAAAGTACCCACATGGCAAATTTCAAGTTTATTGCATGTCGGGAAGTACGCTAAACATTTTGAACAGACACACATATTCACTACTTTGCCTTATATATATGGAGATATATGTTTCAGTGCATCAATTTGTGTATGTGTATATACATATCTTGTTGTAGGCAGCAGTGATTGGCGCGCTGCGCTCCGAACCCGGCGACCCGAGTTAGGTTTTCGCTCACGGCCACCAACACCAGGGACGATTATCTGAACCAGTCCTGGGACCTCCCCTCGGTCGACTCAGCCTCACATTAGTAGCATCTGGTGCGATGTGTAAACATCGCCATTTGGGAGACAAAGCCGACCGAGCGTGGTGCTGACCTCCTATTCCCTCGTGTGCTCTGCTGCCCTTAATAGGTGCTCACAAACAGAAACTTGGGCCCAAAGGCTGTAAGGCTATAGAGGGGGTATTTTTATTGCCTTTGTCTATACATATATCGTTGCTGATCCTGCCATGTGTAGAATGTAAATATAAAGCAGCAAATGCAAATGAATGTCAATAATAGCCGTCGTGAGTTGTGACATTCGCTATTGACTTCCTGGCGATACGAGCAAATCATTTATATGGATGGTTCAACTTTAATGTTTCCCTGAGAGGCCTATGCGCGTCGCACCAAATGTATTCATATATCTGTAAATTATTTTCCGTGACTCATGAATTAACATGCCAATTCTTTAAGCTGTTTGAAATAAAATTACGTTATTAATAACAATAATGTTGATTTGTAATTTTCACAGTTTTTGTTTACTCTCAGAGAGAGAGAGAGAGAGAAAATGCAGGAAACCAGAGAGAAAGTGAGAAGGCATCCAGGACCGGCACCAAAATGTGCCCGAGTTCTGTGGTCCTATATGTGTATGTTTGGCCAACTCCATTAATTAGTGTTTCCTCTGTGTGCGGAAGTAAACCGGAGTGCCCGGAAAAAAAAAACCCCCACGGGTGAAAGGGGGGTAAAACTCAATCCTCATTCAAACTAAATAAAGATGAACGCTAATCCACTTGCTGTACTGCCATACCATGGCAAGCCAGGAGATAGTGAGCTCTTGACGCCCACGGAATGGAAGTTTAACGAATTTGGATTAAGGGCCACTCGATTGTTCATTCGTTTGTGTTACTTGTATTGCTGTTTAATTTTTGCGTGCTGAAGATTTTACTTACTGCTTGATATTGTACTTGACCCACTGCTTGCATGGCTCTTTTTGATTTTCTCTACTTGTATTAAACCCTATCTTGCCCGGAAGCTAAGCGGAGTTGACCCTGGATAATGCTTGGACAGGCGACCATCATTCATAACAGGTGGTATAGGCTCTGAGGCTACGTAATGGACTGTAGAGCGAGATTATTGTTACTGGTTTTTTTTCGGTAAAGTCACGTAGGTAAAAAAATAAAAATCACGACGTTTCGAAGCCAACACAAGCCTCCGTCTTCAGGTGGAACTCACTTCATATAGTAATTTTGCTGTGACGGTTCCACCTGAAGACGGAAGCTTGTGTTGAATCCTTGCAGTCACGAAAACTTCAAATCTAGAATGAGATTATTGTTCTTTGGTAATTCTCTGCTTCAAAGTAAATGACTCCCACGTTCATCAACCCACACTGTCCAGCCTAATGAAGTATAGCCAGATGACTCCGCTCAAATAGTACAGCATGGGAAGGCCCTCATCCAGCAGTGGATCGACAAAGGGCTGCACATGTACACGTGTCAACGATGATCGTGATGATGATTATCATGGTAATAATGATGACGATGACGCCGATTGCGTTTCATGTCGTGGACGATTACCGTTGTGTGTGTGTGTAGCATTCTAAATCGCAAACGAGTGACTGCGCACTCCCCTCCCGTTGCAGCAGAGGGAAAACGTGGGAGACCTGATGATCAAGCGGCTACAGCTGCGGCACCGCGGTAATTACACGTGCACCGCCCAGACGTCCGTGGACAACACGTCAGCCTGGGCCATGCTGATGGTCAGAGGTGAGGTTGCCACCCTTCGTTAGCACTCGCTGTCCCTGTGCCGAGGCTGCGATCGCCGCTCCTGCCCACTCGTGTGTATGCGCCGTGGTTCGGGGGGGGGGGGGGGGGGCAACGATGGTGCGGTGAAATTTCGATTTAAAGCTTTCGTGACTGCAGGGATTCATCTTCTTGGTTCTTTCGCTAAAGTCACGTGACTTTAACCGAAAGAACCAAGAAGATGGTGCGGTGGTTCATGTGATGTGCTATGCATGTGCGTGTATGTTGAATTTTCTTTCGGACGGTACGTAATCAGCCGTGCTAGTGCGGGGGAAGGATAACAAACTAAACACCAAGAGCAGTTAATTCTAGATTTGAAGTTTTCGTGACTGCAAGGGTCCATACTCTTTGTTTTTTTTCGGTAAAGTCACGTAGGTAATTTTTTTTTTAAATCACAACATTTCGGAGGCAACACAAGCCTCCGTCTTCAGGTTGAACCGTCACAGCAAAATTACTGTATTAATTGTTGCTGTGTTGCCTCCGAAACGTCGTGATTAAATTATTTTTACCTACGTGACTTTCCAAAAAAAAACATAGAGTATGAGTACCAAGAGCAGTTCTCAAGAAATTAGTTTTCAATTTAGAAATGAACCCGGCAAACAGAGTTCGAATCCTGCTCACGACCAACCAGTGTCGATGATTGAATTGGTCCTGAACAGGGGTCGGGAACCTTTTTGACTGGGAGAGCCGTAAAAGCCAAATATTTCTAAATATATTGCATTGAGAGCCATATAGTATTTTTAACGTATAATAAATTAAATGTCTTACTTTTAATGCGACTTCTGGTGCTGCATGGTTTTGCTGATGGCCTTGTAGTCTGGTTCGTACGTGGTGAGGTTGAGCTTTATGCAGGCGTTGAGGCCCCGTGACCTGTGAAATTTATCTTCAAAACTAATTTCTGTTTACTTTAAAATGACACAGTATTATTAAGCAATATCACAAGTATTTTAAAATCAGTTCCAAACTGATATTTTTATTTTATTTTTTTCAACTCAAAATTGTCTGGGAGCCATATGCCGTCACCGAAAGAGCCATATATGGCTCGCGAGCCATAGGTTCCCGACCACTGGTCCTGAACCTCCACGATGTCCACTCAGCCTCAAATAAGTACCCGGTGTGGTGTGTAAACATCGCCACTGGGGAGACAAAGGCGATCGGGCAGTGGTGGTTGCTACCCACCCCCTCGTGCTCGCTAACAGCACTTGTCCCAAAAGTCGGTGCAGGTTATAAAGGAGACCTTTGTCTTTGTCTTATGTGTGCTTGGAAGCCAGTGTTCTCAGCCGAGATTGTGCATTCGTATAAAACTGAAACATGGTCTAGATAGGCGGAAGGAGGGTGATATGGGGGAGAATAGCTCCACTCGTTTGGGTGAAATGCGATTTTGCTTTTACTGCTACTGCAAGTTGGAATAATTCTAAAAAATGCACATTGCACTGGGAAAATGATCAATTTCGTGACATGCCAGATTTGAACTGTTTAAGTCAAACTGATAAAAACGATCCTTTAAGGATCAGAAGTAATCAAACATCGTTTTGCATGAGATTGTGTAGGTTCAGTCTGCCTTTACAATGGTGGCACAACTCACAGAACCATCAAGACATACTTCAAAAAGTGTACAACCCTTAAAAGGTGTCTTGAAAAATGCAGTCCTATACAAAATTGACTAAACTGTCCATGCCTTAGGCAAATACAACGAAAGTTTGTCTCGTAAGGCAATTTTTAAGAGGGCTATAGTGCTTGTGAAACGTTCAGAGACACTACTGCTCCTTATTCCTCATGCAAGAATATGAATATGTCGTTTCCAATTGTATCCATCTGTCAGTCCATCTTCCAATCCAATCTGTGTGCACATATGACTATTTATGAAGAGTCACAATAATGCTGCACCTTGGAAATGGATAAGCAATCTGAAAGAAACAATGTGGAGCATACTCGGGAGGAGTTTCGGATTTCATGTTTTACAATTTCGGGATTTTTTAATTTGTATGCACAATATTTGATTTTGTTAACATTTATCGGATGTAAATGTATCGAGTTTTCATATTTTATCGTGTTTATTGTTGCTTTTTAATTTATTTACTTCAAATGTCATCAGATAAAAAAGGGAAATATTTTCATATTCCAATGCTTTTGTCATTCAATGTACTTGGTGTGATGTCATGTGACGTAAAATTTTCAGATTTTTCTGAAATATTTTCTTGGGATTATCCAACATTTCGTATCTAGGCCCAATTTTCAGGGTTTTTTTTTCAGATTCATCCGAAATTCAGGAAATCATTCCGAGCGCATTAAGCTCCATTGCACAGTACGATTTGATTTCCGAATAGTCTTAAAGAGCAAATGCTTGTGTGTAGACACTTTTTGTTTTTACAAAATAACAGTCGTAACATTTTTCGATTTAAAGCTTTCGTGACTGCAGGGATTCATATTCTTGGTTCTTTCGGTAAAGTCACGTAGAAGGCAAATAATAAAATATAAAAAATAAAACAATAAAATTCTCACGACGTTTCGATTGCAACACAAGCAATTATCATCAGGTGTGAAAACCACAGCAAGAAAATTTGAAGAAAAAAAAACAATTTTTTAAAATAAAAATAACAGTATAACATTAATTGCACAGCCCTTTTGCTAATCCACTGCTGAATAAAATCCTGCTACCTGAACGGTTGTTTGGTGAAACAGGCATTCCACCTCACCGGTTGTATGAACTGGACTGATGTTTTTTTTATTTTACTTTTTAATGTTTTTACCTACGTGACTTTACCGAAAAAAACTAAGAATATGAATCATTGCAGTCACGAAAGCTTCAAATCTAGAATGGACTGATGTTAGCTATTGCGTGGGAATTGAACTGGTTTATGGCTTCATAGCGGAAAGCTTTAGCCACTTCACCACGATTCTCACAAATTTACTTTATGGCAACTATTTTTTTAATGTTTTAACGCACACAAACGGCATGCTGGTATTGAAGGTGATTTTCAACATACTCGCATGCATTAAACATTCGATACAATGAAACCTATATATCCTGTACATAAAAACAGCACTTCCCCATGCAGTTGAAAGAGTACATTGCAAAGCACATGCTAAATTATCGTGACAAAAATGCCTTGCTATCCTGTTATTAGATTGCACCCATTGCCGTATAAAATGTGCACACGAAGGCACTGCATATGCAGTGTGGTGCATAGCAATACCACATTAAACAATGGCTTAAATATATGCGGAGGTTGTGTATTTTTTATCGAGTTACATAACCAACCATCAATAAACAGCCATAAAAACTATAAACTATTTTTATTCTACCAGGTAAGGTCCACTGAGCTATATATCTATTTTTAGAAGCGACCTGGCCACCAGTGATCGCGTGGAAATGTATCGCAGCTAAATACTCGAAACGCATTTTTTTCTAAATGTAGACGGCAAAACTAGAGGACCCGGAGAAACATCCACAAGACCACAGAGAGACCACATCCTGTATACCAGGCGAGGGAGTTAACATCTCGCTACCGTGATGCCCCACCACACGTGGAAAAGTCAACGTATATGCTGAGCATGCCCAGTAAAATATATTTCATATCTAGATGATGGTTTGTTGACGACTCACACAGGAACACATTTGTTTGTTGAATTAAAGTAGCTGAGCAAAGGCCAAAAAGTGCCAAAAGGCCCAGCCACAAACAGCACTATTGAAGGTGTGATAGATAAGTGTTAATACTAAGCAGGGAAATCATATTTTGACAATATGAATTGGGAAAGATTGGTAAACTGATGAAGCCACAGTGTTGGGGTTTTAAGATTGATAATGCCCTGTATCATTCAGCAAGCAATTTGTTGCAGGTGCTGATGTTGATGAGGCTGTCAATGATGATGGCCATTCCAATTACAAAGAACGCCAAGCCTATGTGAGTGTGACTGATAAGAGGATAAAGCCTAACTTTCATTCCTGCCCGAAGTAAACGTGCAATATTAGGATCAATACGACAAAACAATTTGCTGGCAATATGCTATGCAACATCAGCGTATACTTCAAAATTGAGAAGGTTGAAAAAGACAATATTTAAAATTGCGTCTATATCATCTTAAACACACGAGGGTTATATTGCTGAGTCAAATCTCGCGTCGTCCGCTTTGATGAGCTGCATATTAGACCACAGCTGTGAACATTTCACTGAATACAAGAGAACATTACGCTGATGCCTGAACCCATGTCACAGAAAACACATTCCTGCGGAGGGAGCTGGTGGGAACGTTGGGTTGCTCGGTCAATGGCCAGGGTCAACGGCGGCGTGGTGTATTCGGCAAATATGCCCGACTGTGAGGGCGGGCACAAGCCGGCGTGAGTAGGTTAAACGTTGAGTTTTATAAGGGCACCACGTGGTGACCAGCCCCTCCCCTCTGCCCCACCCCTCCCACCCCCCACCCAGCCCCACCCTCCCCACCCAGCCCCTCCCCACCCTCTCCACCCAGCCCCACCCCTCCCATTTTTGGATGCACGACAAACGGACGGACGGACACACTAATCCCCTGTGGGCTGGTGGAACCAGGTGGTTCCTACCAGTAATATCTGTCATTACCCTTTTTGATAATGTCTCATGTCCCCATTGTACTGCTTGCAAGCTCCTCTGTTATGTTTTTTTTGTTACTTATTTATCCAGGACAACTGCACTGAGTCACAGGACTCCTTTTTCTGAGGGTCTTGCATTTGGGTTTTATTTTAAGATGTTTTCAGACAGTTAACGCCGAGCGCTCATTATACAAGTGCGAGCGAACCAGAGCACTTAGAGTTTCAGTTTCAGTTTTCAGTTTCATTTATTTGGAATAACCCTGTGAACCATTCGGCTCTTGATTCGGGTGCAACGCAACAAACAATAAAATGACAATATACATTTAAAATATACTGCGCGCAAATTGAAACATCCCCTACAAAAACGCACGCTTGCAAAGGGGGCAACACTCTATCC